GCAGCCATGACTGAGGCTTGTAAAGGACATGAGAGCAGATGAGGTGATGGCTTTGCCACTGACAGAAATGACACAGTGGAAGTCTTTCCCCTCCCTCTCCGTTTGAGGCACGGCATGACGACAATGTGAATTTCATTTTGGATGTGTCAAATTTGAAATGTTAACGGAATGTCTAATGAATGTGTCCAGTAAGCAATTTAATACACAGACCCAGAGCTCCAGAGGCTGACTTTTTCTTAACTACAGAACTGGATATAGGAACTTACTAGGGAAGAGTGTGCAGTGTTATTAGAAAAGAGGGCCTGGGTGAGAGCTTGATGCATACCAATATTTAGGAAATGGGAAGTGGACGATAAGATCACAGATGACCCCCCAGCAGAGTTTCAAGATACAAAACAAGAAGACCAGAAGAAACCAGTACAGCAGAAGCTAAGGTGCAAGGAACTTTCAGAGCAGGGAGTGGTCAAATGGCCAAGTGCTGTGGAAAAGGCCGATGTGATTCAGAAGACAGTCTCGCCCTTTATAGGTATTTAACAGCAATGTGCTTATTCTTTGATGGCTTCATAAATAGCATTATTGTGGGCGAGAGTGGAATAGTGAGGAGGTGGGAGAAGAACTCACATTTCTGTGGGGTAGTGGAGTGAAAGAGAAATGAGACCATAGAAAGAGCAGGTGCCTAAGTTCCTCCAAGTAAATTGGCTGAGAAAGAGCAAAGAGAACATTTGGTGGTTGTTCATGAAGGATTACTGAACTAATAACAAGAAATCCCATGTGCTATTTAAGTTTATAACCTATTTTGATTTTCTTAATTGTAAACACTTTTGATGTTGGCAGAATTTCTCAAAACTTAGTCCCGGGTGCTATGTAAATCTCAGGATAACCTCTTCAGTGCTTTGGATGGATGCTTGCCTTCACTTGTTTACAGAGGAACTGGACACCAAGTCCCTTCAGAGTTTCAATCACTCACAGGACTTCCGCCTGGGTTACCTGCACCTGTGCCTGTTACTGGGAAACCGCATTGTGTTCTAATGCACAGCTTTCCTGGCCATTCTATTGTGTCACCAGAGACATTGCCTAGGCTTGAAAACAATATCTAGAGTAAGCTGCTGAACCCACACCACGAAGCAACATGAGACTGGGAATTTTACCCTTATCTCCTTTAATCCTCATATCGACAATGTTGATCAAATATCATATCCCACATTTGCTGGATGAAGAAACCAAGTACCAAGATCAGAGGCTCCGTATTAACTGTAATTTGTACTCAGGCACCTGAGGAACCAAAGCCCTGTTCCCTCCCACCACATCCTAACTCAGACAAGGAAGCCTGGGCCTGCTCGCCTGGCCTCTCAGGGCTACTTTACTTCAAGAAGTCAAATAAACTCTATGTCTTCCACTCCGTTTTAATTTTTCAAGATCATCTTTTCACTCTTTCCGTTGTTTAAGCAACACACATTCTTCTGAATATGTCATCTATGTACCTCAGTTCTCTCTCACAGGTACAATGGTGGGGGAAAAGATAAATCAGAAATGATCCTACATTCAAATAACTGAGAGTCTAGAGAAAAGGCAAACCATGTAATTAAATAAGTGTAAAACAAGACAAGGTGAATACCAGTCGTCATAGACAGAGAGAGCTGAGAAGTTAAAAATCTGCAGGACGGAGCCAGGCAAATAATTTAACATCTTAAAGCCTCAGTATCTTTATCTGTGAAATGGTTAACCACAGTAGTATTTACCTTAAAAAATGGGGGTAGATTAAATTAGATCAGTTATTCTTATATTCTGTTACTTTTTCTACCAACAACAGAATTATTGAGAGGTTAGTTTCATCACAGTAATTGCATGCGGCCACGCTGATGCAAGTGTAACGATGTGTGACACACAGTATGTAAGGCATAGCTCTTTCCTATTGTTAGGGCCAGGTTAATGTAGGTTTAGAAAACAGACTGACCAGCCTGGCATTTCCAGTATTCAGTCTGGGTAGTCCAACTATTACAACTTGAAGTGTAAAGTCATAATTTCGGATCACAGTTAAGTATCAGACCTCAATGTAATGGTTATGAGGTTTTCGCATTTTTTCCCTGCCTACCAAAGCTTGTAACTACCTCTCTTTGGCATGATAGAATGCAGGAGTGAGGACTACGGAGCTAGGACTGCCCACTCCATCCTCATAGCCCCAGCACAGAGCCTGGCTAACAAGTTTGACACACACTTGAAGGTAGCCAGGGACAATGGGGTGGCCTGTGGTTCTCCTGCTGGGACGTGGGGTGCCCAGCTGAGGCTGGAGACACACGAAGGAAGGTTTCTGTTGTGGTGGAAGGCCCCAGATCTTCACGGGTGGAGGAACCGCCCACACTGTGAACTGGCAGGAGAAGGACAGGAACAGTGAAGGACGTGCAGATGAGGGACCATCTGGGGCCGCAGGGAGGAACCATGCTGCCTCATGTCTAGCCCAACTCAGTGTTGCTCCATGTTGCTTTAGACCAATCAAAATTGACACTGTTAACTCAGATAGTTTATAAAGTACAGTGTGTGGGAAAAGGGCATGGCCTGTTCTGAGGTAGATAGCAAACAAACAGACCAAACCCAGTGGTTGAGCAGTACCAGGGGGTCACTTAGCACCATAATAAATGCCAAAGGCTGCATGGAACATTCAGACTGGTATTTATGTTGACTTTTCTTTTTCATAAGTTAGATTTTATAAATATGATCCTTAAGCTTTTTTCCAGGGAAATGTTTCAGCGGGTGGTTTGCCTGGGACCCCAGGGAGGGTGTTTCAGCGGCTCCTGTCTTTCCTGTTCCTGCTTCTGTGATTCCTTACAACCCTCAGTGTGGTAGCCAAAGAGCAGTAACTTTACTTAGAACTGAATAATGTTATAGACAAAACAGACTGGAATGACCATTTTGTACATCTCTCATCTTTATTACACAAGTAAAATAAGGCTCATAAATGTGAAATAAGCCGCTGAGGGTCATGCTGTTGGTATGTGGAACAACTGGACCCAAATTCCCCTCTCCAGGCTCCAATGTAATGCTTAGAAGAGCCCCACAAATCCCTATTATTAAATATTTTAGCTTTTATATATGCAAAAAAGAGCTAATAAAATCTGTCCTGTCTGTGTGAAATATCTGTTGTATATCAAAATGTCACTTCCTAGGAGAATAATGTATAAATAATTATCAGTTTAATGTTTACTTTTATGGTTAAGGCACATACCTTTAGGTAAAATATTTGCTTATTTTAACTCACTAATGCATATGAAGTCAGTAGTTTTTTTCAAGTTAACATGGACTCACATCAGCTATTGTCAATATGCAGAATATTAAACCGTTTCAAAGTTCTCATAATTATCCTCTAGAGAAGGTTATATTTCAAGGGACATTTTCAGAGGAGTAAACAGAAAAGAGACCTCAGGGAAATGACCATCCTCTTTGCACGTCCTGAGCTTTCAACAACTCAATACCTTTTACATATTAAGTTAAATACCACTCCAGGGCACCATTGTTAAATGATTTTTGGTTCTGATTCTTCATCTGAGGATATTCATTTACAGTTATCAAGAGTTTAAAGGTGAGTTAAATTTGACCACATTTTTTTCCATGAATACTTTGGTTGTGGGTTTTTTAGGAGTAATAATGTTAAAAATGTTAATCTAGAACATTGTCCTCATACAAAAACATTGATTCAGATTCAGGAGATATTGAAATACACTGATGTGCTTTGTTTCCCTCCAATATATGTTTTAAAATCATCAGATATTGACAAAAACAGATTTTTCAGGAGGTTCAGAATACTGTAGATAAATCAAATTAAAACATTTCATTAAACAGTTTTCACACATGAAACAAGGCTCAAAATGTGCAATTTCTTCCTTAAGAGATGATTCCATAACATTTTCACTTGTATTTAATCAGGTGAGATATGTGAGCACTGACAGGAGACAAATACTAAAACAAGTCATGAGTGTGAGTGGCTTTCTTAAAACTCATTCCATCTGATCTTTAATGCATTTATTCCCTTATATTTATAAGGTATTATTAGGAATGAGGTACTAAGCAAAATGCAATACTGTTTCTCTGTATTCTCAATCTAGAATAATCGCCGGTGTTTTTATCCAGGGTGGCCATAAAGTTAATGTGCAATTTAACTTCATGGCCACCCGTATAACCAAACTTCATAGTCAAAAGCCTGCATTACACCCCTGCTGTTCTTATGTCATGTTGTGTTACAAGTTTTCTCTTCACTGTTTCTAAGACAGTACAGAATATTGATCGAGATTGCAGGCCCTGGGGGCGTATAAACACAAAACATGATGATGATGATGATTGGTGGTGGTGGGGGCTGCAGGCCCTGGCGGCAAGCCACCTGGGCTGACCGAATCCTGCAGTTTAGTGGCAGTGTGGCCGAGGGCAATTTACTTACATTTTCTTTTTTTTTTTTTATTGAATGGTAACTATGTACATTAATGCACTTCTGGGGTACAGTGTGGGATTGTCACATGCAATCCGAAATACTTCCATCAAACTGGTCAACACAGCCTTAATGTCATTTTCTCAGTTGTTTTAAAACGTTCACATTCTACTCTTAGAAAGATTCACTTGTACCCCTATAAGATAAACCTCAGAAGTGATCCCTCCAATCCCCCTCCCTCCACCCATTTACATTTTCTTTATGTTAACTTCCTCCTTAGTAAAATGTGATCTATTATCCTATAGATTTAGCCTGGAAGGTGTTTGTAATAAGGATTCAAAACACAGTACCACGCTGCCAGCAGAGCTCTGCGTGTGTGTGTGCACGCTGCATTCCGAGTCATCATTTAGAGTACAGAGTGCTGGTCGAGTGGAACTACAGCCTTTTTTTTTCTAGTTTGGTGTTGAGAGCTCTCTCGAGAGTGGGCTGTATGCTCTGCCCGCGTGTCAGTGGATGTGGCCGGGGGTGTTGGCAATGTGCTTTTCAGGGGAAACATCTTATTTTGGCAGATAACCTACTGCTTAAGTGTCCACCAGTGACCAGGGGTGTCTCTCACAGGAAACCTGTTCACACTGAAAGCTACTCTTGCGGTTCTAATCCATTCCTGCCACGACAGCCATCTCTAGGAGAGCCCTGGAAAGAAGAGCTGGGAAAGAAGGTCAGTGTGGGTGTATCAGTCCGGGAGGCACAGAACGGCAGGACAACAGAACACCAAGTAGGGAAGCAGTTTTCTGCTCACTGTTGCGGGAAGCACTGTGCCGGGCAGTGGGCAGGGCCAGTTCGCTTATGCTCGGTCCATAGAGCAGGGAAAGGAGAGAGAGACTTGAGGGCCAAATCTTTTTTTTTTTTCCCCCACCAATTACCCTCCCTCCACCCACCTTTCCCCCTCCTCTCCCCACCTTTATTGGGGTCCAGGGCTGTGCCTTGACAGATTTGCTGCAGAAAATTCTAAATTGCATGTTTGGAGAAAATAGCTATGGGTTCTGTGGGTGCAGGCTGTGACTGAGGTGTGGTCCCTGCAGCATCTCAAGGTGGGTGGAGCAGGTTTATAGAGCTTCCCCAGAGGAGGGTGGCCCACCAGGATGGACTGATAAGGAGCTGAGAGGAGGCAGAGAACTGGAAACTGTATCCAGGAGGACCAAGCCCTGCCTTGATATGAGAAGGTCAACTTACATTCACAATGGATGCCAAGGCAACTGATTGTTCTATCCAGTGTATTCTGGAAATTTCATTTCACTTCACTATGCATTTATTTACCTTAGAAATGTATAGGTCTTGGGGTTACAAAGTCAAATGTATGTCCTAACCCTAGGATAAGAAATCTGAATTCTAATTGGAGAAACAGGTATAAACAGATAACAACACAGTGGAACGGGTACAACGATAGCACTCTGTTCAAGATATGAGAATGGAGGCAGGAAAGTAATGAATTTTCTCTGTAGACCACTAGAAAGACTTATCAGAGGATGTGAATTTTGTCCAGGATTTTAAGGGATGAGTAGTCTTCTAGACACATGTAGGAAACAAAAGTAAGGGTGTCAGTTCAAAGACAGAGAGACATGCAAGCACAGTGGCCTGATGTGAGGCTTGTCTAAGCATCTTATCACCTTGTTAGAGGGTCAGACTCCTGGCCTCGTGTGATCCTCCAACCCGGGCCTCCCAAAGTGCTGGGATTACAGGAGTGAGTCATAGCACCCAGCCCTGCTGTGCTGGAGGCTAACTTATCAGTGTGGTGGAGGTAAACACAGGAAGAGTCGGAGAAGTCTAAATGTGAAAGTCATGACAAAGATCTTTCAAATTTATCCTTTAGACCACACTGTTAAGGTCAGGTTTTAGAGACATACCACTGATACTGGGCATGTGGAAATAGGAAGACCAGTGTAAAGACTATGGCCATAGTAAAGAGTAGATAATGATAAGGGTGTAAATTAAGGCAAATTATTTTTGGCAATAATGACAATGATAACATTGACAGTGGCTACCATCGTCATGTCCTGCCAATACACACACTGCACCCACTCTCTCATTTCTCCCCAACTATAGCTCTGAGGAACGAGGATAGTCAGGGTCTGGTAAACATTATTGGACTGAATCCATACTAAAGGAATTTTCAGAAATTCTTCTTCCAGGACCTTTTTTTTTTTTTTTAGGGGGATTATATTAATTTCTTCTAGAATATCTTCATTAGCATATGAAGTCTGACAATTATGTTCACAAACTTGACATCATGTGGTCACGTTGGCAGTGCTGTACATAGAGCTCCGTGAAGTTTCATAACCGGGTTTATCAGTGTCCCACAACTGTGTTCATGTTGACCTTGGTGTTGTCTTCCTGAGTGGTGTTAATTATTATCATTCTGTGTTTGTGCATGCTGTCGTGAGAATGTCATAGTTTGAATTAAAGCAGTGATTTTCAACTAGTGCCCCACATCACACTGGTGCACCCTGAGAGGATCTTAGGTGTGCTGTGAAAATTTTTAAAGATCATTAAAATTAAATTATTTTCAAAATAAGTTCAAAGCACAGTAAGTATATTCTTTTTTTTTTTTTACTCTTTTTTTTGATCAACACAATTTAAATGTGTCACAGAAATTCAACTACAGGTTTATGTGTGCCGTGAGATTTTTAAAAAGTTGAAAAACACTGATATTAAAGCAAGCACAAATGTTTTATAAATTTATTGTTAAACTTGGCAAAGTGGAAATGAAATCAGGGACATGTTGGTACAAGGTTAGGGGAATAATTCTATGAAGAAATTGGCAGTGTACAAATGGATTGTTTTACTGGGGAAAGAAAGTGTCACCAGTGAAGAGAGGTCAGGGTGACCAGGAACAAGCAGAACTGACAAAAACATTGCAAAAAATTGTTCAGATTGTGCATCAAAATCATCAGCTGACTGTGAGAAGCATAGCAGACTTAGTAAACATTAATAGAGAAATAGCTAGGAAAACCTAAACTGAAAATCTTGGCCAACAGCTCATGGCTCTTGCATCATGACAATGCACCAGCTCACGCAGCACGGTCTGTGAGGGTTTTTAGCCAGTAAACAAATCACTGTATGGAACACTCTCCCTACTCACCTGCTCTGGCCCCCACTGACTTTTTTATTTACCAAACTATAAAGGAAATATTGGAAGGAAGACATTTTGATGATTTTCAGGACATCAAGGAGAATACAATGATAGCTCTCACGGCCATTCCAGAAAAAGAGTTCCAAAATTGCTTTGATTGGTGAACTAGGCCCTGGCGTCAGTGCACAGCTTCCCAGGGAGAGCACTTCAAAGGTGACCACAGTCTTTCAGCAGTGAGGAATGTAGCACTTTTTCTAGGATGAGTTTGTGAACTTTATTGTTAAACCTCATAGGTAAGTTTAATATCAACAGTGATATTAAAGCACAAACAGCCCGTAACTACTGGGGTAAATTATAGCTACTGGGATGGAGAGGGAGGATTCTCCCAAATCACTATACTTATGAATATATTTGATAACCATGAATTAACACTCTGCAGCAGTAAACCTCAAGACATTTCTCATAGTGATAATTTTATTGAACTGGAAAAAAAGAAAGAAAGCAAAAATTTCAGGAACTTGATTTAAGTTAAGGAGTCTGAGTTTTAGTACCAGGCTGCCAATTAGTCCTTACAGAATGAACAAGCTGTAGGAGAGTAGGAAGGGATGAGGGAGCCAGCTGAAAGGCTGAGGCTTTGCCTGATAGGACTGAGAGAAAAATGGCCATGTGCAAACTACGGAGGGCATTAGGTAGCTGAGCAAGTACTAGCTACTTCCAAAAGTTAATATATAGGGAAACATCATAAATTAGAACTCAAAAATATTAAAATTATTTTTTCCTGTATAGTTACTACTCCCAGGTAAAGGCTTATTTGTGTGTGCAGAGAAAGGTAAAAGGAGTTTGGGGACCATGAAAGTATCTGAGAGATCCCCCAAATTTATAAGCTTTCTATGTTCTGAGGTTGAGTTATACCGGATAACTTTGTATCTCTTTTATGAAATCCCTGTGTGGTGAAATGAATCGGAATACACAGCTGGGAGCACTAATTCCAAATACTGTAAATAGAACTTGTAGAGCCAGATGCAGTGGTACATGCCTGTAGCACCAGCTACTCTGGAGGCTGAGGTGGGAGGGTCACTTCAGGCCGGGGGGGGAAGTGGCAGGACGGTACGATTGCGCCTGTGGGTGCCCCGTGCTCCTGCCTGGGCAATGCAGCAAAGCCTCCATCTCTTAAAGTAAATACATACTATGGTGGTAACTCACAGTGTTATAAGGGGATGCTGAGCAATGACAATGCGACTAAATTATTCACTTATTTTTAAATGTGATTAGTGCTACACTTTGTTTACAATCTAGTCTCCCCAAAATGGACAACACACAGAGTGTCTTCAGGAGGGAGCTGGTGGATGTTCAGGGCATCCCTCTCTTCTGGAGCATAGCTGAGGAGTGGTCCACAGTAGAGTCATTCGAGGCCCGGCCAGATGACCTTCTCATCTCCACGTATCCCAAATCTGGTAAGCCCTCTGTACTTAGTAGTTCCAGATATTTAGGTAATGATCCATCTGTGTAAACCCATCAGGTCTGACTTGAGTCCATTAAACATCAGTCAAGATAACCCTGTGAGAGTTGCAGGGAGAGCTTTATCTTAAATTAGACAAGTTCTCTTTCTATTCTGAAAGGGTAACAATTAGATGGAGGATATATCTAAGGTAAAAATTAACCTAGTTGTCTTGTTTTTATCCTTAGATTCAAGTAAAAATTATCAGAACTGCATATGTATGTGATTTAGGCACATAAATATATTCGTTCTAGAGCTACATCGGGTATATTAATATATATATATATATATCTTCTATTCATTTTGATGTTTAAATATTGTTTTTATGTTTAAACAACTGCTGACCTTCAGTATATCAGACTCAGAAAGGAGATTTTAAGATGGCCTGATAAGAATCAACAATGTTGGAGGGAGAGGGGAGGGAGGAATTGGTGGAGGGAGGGGGATTGGAGGGATCACTTCTGAGGTTTATCTTACAAGGGTACAAGTGAATCTTTCTAAGAGTAGAATGTGAACGTTTTAAAACAATAACTAAGAAAATGACATGAAGGCTGTGTTGACCAGTTTGATGGAAGTATTTCAGATTGTGTGTGTGAAAACCCCACACTGTATCCCAGAAGTGCATTAATGTACATAGTTACCATTCAATAAAAAAAAAAAAAAGAATCAACAATGTTTATTTTTCCAGAACTACTTGTGACAGAGTCTTTGATTTACCCAGAGGTAAACGTACACACAGAGGGGGGGAATCAAGGGCTCTCTTGCCTTTTATCCACCTACATTTCCTGGTCCCACTGTCAATCAACTGCACTAATCACTAAACCCTTTAAAGTTAGCTGTCCTTGATATCCTTGCCTCATTTCTTAAAGGAAGGATTTTTTAGTAAGTGTAGTGACTACTGATCTTCCTTTTAGATTATACATATCAAAGTTATTTCAAAGTAATGTTTAACAAATTCTGGATGACAGTTCTAAAGTGGGGAATCTAATCTATAAAAACCAGAAACACTGGGAGAACAAAGAGCTCCTACTAGGAAATGAGCATAAGCACCTTTTAGATACTGGTTTTTAAAGCATGTTTTGCCAAAACACCTTTTTTCCTTATTACTTTACAGTGCTTTCCTAATCGTTCACCAAACCCAAAGTGTTTCGGACCAAGACCACTTTGTCTTTCCTTGATAAGTGTGAAGAGAGGGCGGGGGGCGGGAGGGGGCAGACACCGACATTGTGTGTGCTCTGTTGTTTTGCTATTTTCAGAGGCATTCAAAAGAAGAAAAGCATTTAGGTAATCTCTGAGCCATGTGTGGTGGCTTATACATACACCCCCAGCCAGCTACTTGGGAGGCTGAGTGGCTCTGTCTCTGGGAAGATCATTTAAAGCCACTAGTTTGAGACCAGTCTAGGTAATATAGCAAGACTTTATCACCAAAAATAAAAAATAAGTTATAGGCATGGTGACTTGTGCCTGCAGTCCCAGCAACTTGGGAGGGTGAGGAAGAAAGATTACTTGAGCCCACAAATTTGAGGTTGAAGTGAACTGATAAAAACATTGCAAAAATTCCCTGAACTGTGTATTAGAATCATCATCTGACTGTGAGAAGCACAGCAAACCAAGTAAACACGGATAGAGAAACAGGAAAATTTTACCTGAACATTTTGACCAGCAACTCATAGTTCTTGCATCATGACAGTGCACCAACTCACAGGACACCGTCTGTGAGGGAGTTTTTAGCCAGGAAACAGCTGTCTTAGACCCTCCCTATCCACACTGTTGTACTCCAGCCTGGGCAACAGAGCAGGACTCTGTCTCCAAAAATAACTAACCAAATTAATATTATAATTTTAAAAATATAATCTTTGGAGGTTATCACTGCACAAATAGTTCACCTAGAAATATGCTCCCTGAAGGTGAATGTTCCTGACACAGTGGAAATTAGGTGACCACGCATGGCTCCATCGGGGCTCTTTGTTGGGTTTTGTTGTTGTTCCTGTTAAGAGATATTGTGAACATGTCTTAAAGTTATTAACCCACTAACACCTTGTTAATTTTGTTATAAAGGATCCAAATTAACCTTTAATATCTCCTTAGCTGAGCCAAGCCTGTGCTCTTTTTCTTTTTCCAAAATTATGGAAAACAGGCATTTCTAATACAAAGCCTAGAGAACAGCCAAACCAGTCTTGCCCTCAGTCAGACTCCATGGGCTGGAGTTTCACCCACTCTCTTAATAGGTGCTAAAAGGGTTGCATTATACTTTGAACTTAAATTTACTTTTCTGTATTTTTAAATGAATTATTGTTTAAGCCTAAGACAGATCAAGCAGCAAAATTTCAAGTATGGTGATCCTTCTTTGACTCACTGTTTTTTTCATGCTATAATTGTCCATAACCAGACAGGGCCTATTGCCCAGTGTAGCTATTCACGATTCAAGGAACAAAAAGAAGCATTGACCACAAGGACTAAAAAGGCACCTAGAGTGCTCCGTGTCTGGGATCACTTGGAATGTGCAGCCACACACAGATCATTCTGCAGAAGTGTTGCTGAATGCATGGCTTAATTAACTGCTTAACTAATTTAATTATTTCTATTTTTAGTTACTACCCACTGTTATTTACTTTAGAGACTATCATTAAACCTTTGGTAAAGGGAAAGGGAATGGGAAGAGTTAAGAAGGTCTGTTCTTCCCAGATCTTACAATTATTTTTAGCAGTACCTCTTCAGCTCCATCATTGACTGCTATAGGCAAATACTGCTTTCGAATGTATTCAAAAGAAGAGAAGCATTCAGATAATCGGTGGCTTGTGCGTGTAATCCCAGCCAGCTACTTGGGAGGCTGAGGTGGGAGGATCATTTGAGACCACGAGTTTGAGACCATTTGCCTTAGATCTGTTTCTCAATAGACTGGTGAGACACAGTGTCTTATGGGCCAGGGTGGCTGGACCCTCCACTCCCACAGAATCCATTGTCTCTTGTTTGTGAGTGGCACTAGGTCAGCACATACAAAATCTCAAAGTTCTGTTTGTTTTTCTTTTCCATTCCTCTTTTTTGAGACTTATTTGTATGATACTTTAATTAGAACTTACATGTGCACAATACGTATGTATATCTCTGTTCAAGATAAGGTGAGGGGGAAGAGAAGGAGGAGGTAAAGATAGGAGCCCGTTTTTGTTTAGATGTTGTTACACAGCTGCTCTCCCTGTATGTACCCTCTTACATGCTCTGTGATGCATAAGTTTAGGGTTTCTTCCATTGCCTCCCCACTTAGGAACGACTTGGATCAGTGAAATCCTGGATTTGATCTATAACAACGGGGATGCAGAGAAATGTAAACGGGATGCGATATACAGGCGAGTTCCTTTCATGGAGCTTATCATTCCTGGAATCACAAACGGTACTTTTTTTCTGAATGTTTCTTTTCACTGTAAGAGTACATCTTTTTGTGATGTCTGGAGGAATCATGGTGGAAAACGGTTCAGACGAGGCTTGATCAGTTAAATCATAAGTAATAGAAGAGTCGGAATCTGGCTGCACAAATTACTGCATTCTACTCTCCCTCTGGGGCCTACATCAGAGAAGATTTTATGTAGCATGTGTTTTTATAAAAAGACTTGTGGAAGTCTTCAAGGATTACATATTGAGTCATCATTATATAGAGAATATTTGGTGTTTGATTCAATATAGAGTTTATACAGTACTAGTTAGCTGAGCACTAGTTAGCAGGGTATTAGTTACCTGAGTCTTACAAAATAAAGGAAAAGCAATACAGGGATGTATAAGCTTGCATTATTAAATTTAAAAAAAAGTCTCATGAGCCTTATGGCTTAATTTGGTCTTAGAATTTGAATGTGGAAGACTGGAAAGGGATTTTGAAATCCTCTGGTATGATTTTCTCACATAGACTTAGCAAATGAGAAAAAGAGGAAGATATGTGGAGGAAATAAATATCTGGATATCCTGACTTAGGGGGTAATAGACTCTTGCGGAGATAGTGGTCCCCTCTGCTCACTAGACCAACACATAAGAGTCTGCCACTGTTTTATCTCCCTGCAGATGTTAAGAGTGTATGAAGTCACATGGCCACTTCAAGCCATACGCATATAAAGGGTTCACGAAGTTTAGGTTATATTGTAAGTGATCTTTACAATTCCACATTTAAAATGCCGTTTTTAAAATTTTTTGTGATTGTAGGTGTTGAGCAGTTGAACAACATGCCATCTCCTCGTCTGGTGAAAACGCACCTGCCTGTTCAACTTCTCCCTTCTTCATTTTGGAAGAATGACTGCAAGGTAGCAAATTTTTCTTTAAAGAGAATAATAGTTATTTGTGTTGTAAATTTACTTTTTTTAAAAAACGAATTATGCATAAATACAATATGAGGAATTACAACTCCATCATAAGTCATTGCAAAAATAATTAGGTGGCCCCTCTATCCCAAGGATCAAATAATTAGGTGGCCCCTTCTATCTCAGTGGACACTAGTATTGTAGACAGCAACTAAACCAGTGCCCAAACCCATGGGATTCTCAGAGATGCTGTCATTCTCTCCAAGTCCTGTGATTCATTATCAACTACATTTAAATGATAGATATTCAAATAATCCTACAACTGCTTCTTAATGGTTTAACATAATTATAATTTACAAATATAAGCTTATTGTTGGTTGTAGGTTATAAATATGTGTGTATGTCGCGTATTATATATATGTATACATATATATACTTAAGGACATATATACTTGTGTGTGTGTATATGTATATGTATTTATGGATTAATTTTAGGCTTTTTTAAATAAACATTTTTATTGAAATTCATTATTTGGGAAGAAAGTTCAATAAATCCCAAGTGTACAGCTTGGTGAATTTTCACGAGAACTAGAACATTACTAGCACCTGAAAGCTCCTTTACTGTACACTTCCAGTTAGTGTCTCCAATCTTCAAAGGTAACCACTATCTCAAATATTTTCATAAATTAGCTCACCTGTTTTTTCTATAACAAGGTATATACCCTCAAACATTTGGATTGTTTCATTCAACATAATATTTGTGAGATCTGTTTCTATTGTGCTTGCTGTTTTATTTTGTTTTCATGTAGCCTTCTGGATCCCACAATGTGAGCAAAACTGCTTGCTAGATGTGTGAATTCTAAGGACCCATTCAGATCTACTGAATCAGATATAATGGGGCTGGGGACTAGTAGTTGGAGTTTTACGAGACCCCCATGTGAATTTGATTCATTCTAACATTTAAGAACTGATGATCTGAGGCATCCCATCGGGTGTATATGAATATTCCCAGTGCTGCTTCTCAGTGGTACTCTCGGTGGACCAAGAGTTGGGTTGTTGCCAGTTGTCAGTAATTCAAACAGAATTGCTATTCACATTCTCATACAAATCTTCTATGCTATATATGTACAGATTTCTCTTGGTTATTTATCCTGAAGTTAACATTATTGTATCCTGGAGTATTTATTTGTAAAACTTTAGTAGATATTTTCAAAGAAAAGGTTTGAACAACACTATGTAACAGTTGGAGTTAATTGACATTATCAATATAAAATACAGCTAAAATATTTAATTTTAGCCAATTAAATTTAGCTATTAATGGACATCTGGTAGCATCTCACTGGGGTTTTACTTTGTTTTTCCTGATGACAAATTAAGTAACATGCCTTTCCACGGCTTATTGACCATTTAGATATCTTTTGTTCTGAGGTACCTATTCAGATCTTTCAACTTTTTTCCTGTAGAATTTTTCTTATTTTTATTATTAAGGGAAAAATTCTCTATATATTCCAGACATAAGTCCTTTGATGTATTAATTATATTCCTTTACATTTTAACTTACCTTTTTTTTCTTTTCATTTTTCTCATTTCATGTCAGTCAGTACATTCGTTTTTGTTTTTCTTTATGGTTGGTTAGGGCTTTGGGTGCATGTGTGTGGGGTTAATTCCTCCCCCAAAGTCTTGAATATATTCTCCCTTCCGTTTACTTGATGTTTCAGTTTTTACATGTACATTTTCAATATCTATAACGTAAGTAGCTATGCTCTATTAAACATTTTCTTGTTGATTAGTTTGAGTTCTCTGTAGACTGTAGTTATGAGTGGATTAATAAACTGTGGTACGTGTACACCACGGAGTACTATTCAGCCATAAAAAAGATGGAGACTTCACATCTTTTGTATTAAACTAGATGGAGTTGAAGCACATTCTCCTTAGAAAAGTATCACAAGAATGGAGAAGCCAGTGTCCCATGTACTCAATACTAATATAAAACCAATAGATGAACAACTACATGCCCACCCGAAAGAATTACACAATTCTATTCATGTGGAAGGGGGAGCGGGGCTGGCTAGCTCTCATCTGATGTGCACATGTGAGGATACACAGCACACCCCCTGAGTGAAGGGCTCAGCCACGGCTGGAACTTTATCTTGGAAATGCAAACAGTGTGACCTAATCATTTATACCCTCATATTAATCTGAAATAAAAAAGAGGCCAGAATAACAACAACAACAAATCTAATAAAATAGTAACCCTTTCTCTCTTTTTGTTTCTCTCTCTCTCACACCCCTATTTTCTGAATGATTGATGCTAGCATTATAGGAAAAATCTGAAACAAGTCGAGTTTGACCAGAAGAAAGTTCAACTGAGTAGCATTCAGGATCGAAGTAGCTTAGGGAGCTCCATTCCATAATGTGTGCAGACAGTATTTATGCCCAGAGAAAGGAAAATGGTTTTCCTTTTCCTTATTTGGGGATGGTTTGAAGCTTTTAACTTTCTTTCTTTTTTGAGACAGTCTCATTATGTCACCCTTGGTACTGTGCTGTCGTATCACAGCTCACAGCAACCTCAAACTCTTGGGCTTACGTGATTCTCTTGCCTCAGCCTCCCAAGTAGCTGGGACTTTTAGGTGCCTGCCACAATGCCTGGCTAGTTCTTGGTTGCAGTTGTCATTGTCGTTTAGCAGGCCAGAGCCGGGCTCGAACCCACCAGCTTCAGTGTATGAGCTGAGCTACGGGCGCTGAGCCTCCATTCAACTTTCTATACACACATTCAAACTGCCAGCAAATAAAAATCTCACTTCTTTTTTCTTAATGTGATGCATTTTATTTCTTTTTCTTGATTTAATGAACAGAATATAACCTTTAATGCAATACTGAGTGGGGGTGGTAAGAGTAGACACTCTTTTCTTGCTTTTGACCTTAGGGAAAATACATTCAGCATTTCACTATTAAGTATGATGATGTTACCTGTTTGTTCTTGCAGTTGTTCTACATGAGGTTGAGGAAATTCTCTTCATTCCTGGTTTGCTGGGTTTTTATAAGAATGCATGTTGGTTTTTAGTCTAAAGCTTTTTAGTATTGATTAAGATCCATCATTCGGTTTTCTATTATTTAGAAATTTAGTTAATATGGTGAATTTCATCAATTGATTTTTGAATGTTAAAATGATCTTGCAAACCTTGTGTTTAGTTATAATATACTATTATCCTTTTTGGATTTAATTAGCTAATTAAAAGTGTACATTAGATCATGAGAGATATTAGTGTGTAGTTTTATTGTAACTCTTTGCTATTAGGGTATAATGTCTTTGTTATTAGACATTAAGAGTTGGAAAATACTTAAGTATTCACTCTTTTTCAGTGGAATTGGTATTATTTCATTTTCAAATATTTTATACTTCCCCAGTGAAGCCATCTGAGTGTGAATTTTCTTTGTCTGAAAAGGTTTTCTTTAAAAAAAAAATTATAGTTTTTAAAACAATAAATTCAATGTGGTTAACAGAAATAAGATTATTCAGGTTATGTACTTTTTCTTGCTTTATCTTTAGTACCTTGTGTCTTTCAAAACTTGGGTCTACTTTGATTAAATTGTTATTTTTTTGTCATACAGTTATTTATTATATTGCTTTGATATCTCTTTAATATTTGGAAAATTTTAATGGATATCACCTCTTTCTTTCTTTCCTTTTCTTTTCTTTTCTTTTTTTTTTTTCTTTTTGAGACAGAGTCTCACTTTATTGCCCTTGGTAGAGTGCAGTGACATCACAGCTCACAGCAACCTCCAACTCCTGGGCTTAGGCAATTCTCCTGCCTCAGCCTCCTGAGTAGCTGGGACTACAGGCGCCACCACAATCCCTAGCTATTTTTTGTTGCAGTTTGGCCAGGGCCTGGTTCGAACCCACCCCCTTCGGTATATGGGCCTAGCACCCTATCCACTAAGCCACAGGTGCCACCTAATATCACCTTTTACTTTCTTCATTTTTTCCTATTAGTTATTTGGAGAACAGTATTTAAATCATACTATAATTTCTCTGTAGCTCCTTATAATTCTGTTTCAGCTTCTTATCAGCAAAATTTGTCAACCAACATGTAATCAGTAACCTGCACAGAGGTGTTACCATGCATGAGCAAATACTGTGACTGACATCACAAATACAAACATAAATACGGCATTCTCTGTCATCTAAAAGTGCGATCTTTCATTTCTGAGATAGTGCTAAGCTTCCTGTGCACGCCAGCTGCTCCTCTGTCCTCTGCTGGGCAGCGGTCACTGAAGTCAGTGACTCTGGTCCTGTACAGCTCACAGCCCTGTGGGATTCCACCGGGAAGCGAAAGACAGATGTATTGGGAAGATAATTACATACCCGCAAAATGAAGTAAAAAAGACTCTATATGGTGAGCCGCACCTGTGGCTCAAAGGAGTGGGGCGCTGGCCCCATTTACCGGAGGTGGTGGGTTCAAACTCGGCCCCCGTCCAAAACCTGCGGGGGAAAAAAAAAAGACTCTATGTGGCAAAGAAGTCAGTCACAGAGATTTGGCCAGAATCCTGAAGAAAGAGTGAGGGAATTTCAAGTCCAGGGAGGGTCCGTGGAGAGGAGGCGCGCATGCAGGAGCTGGGCTGGGAGATAGCAGGTGCGCTGGAGCCACACGGATGGCGAAGTGCGAAGTGTGAAATGCAATGCGGGGAAAACGAATAAGGGACATGGAGTCACAGAATCTCTAGGTCTGAGAAGGGTGTTTAGAGCATTTTTACCCCAAGCAGGTTTAATGGAAGGAGCAAAAGAGGTGTTGTTTCTCTTTTGCAAAATTGAGACTTTTATCCGTATTATACAAAAGGTCTTTGTATCAGTGTTTGTGTGTGATTTCCCTTTTGCCTTTCAAAGTCTAATTAGAAACAGGAGCGATGAGGCAGTAGGTATGTGACTTATTGCGTGGTAATCTACAGAAGTCCGGGAGTTTCGAGGCCGCGGTCAAAACTGAGTCCCCGGGACAGCCTGCCCTTCACACCATGCTCAGACTTCTCTGGGTCCCAGCTGAGGAGTGTAGATTAAAAAAAAAAAAAAAAAAAAAAGAAGAAGTTATTACCCTGGTTTCTTTCATTGCAGTCCGAGGTGACTGGGAGGCCTGCAGGATTAGTATCCTCCCAGGAAGTTATGTCGGAAGAGTCTCAGAACTCTTTGACAGCTCTGAAACTCTTCTCCACTCTCTACCCAAATCCTTGTCTAGGCCAGCGGCAGAGCTACTCCCAGGAATGTGACAGAGAACATTCCCTGCTCCCTTTCCCATCGGTTGGTGGGGAAGGAAGCTCTGATCCTAGTTGGGCTGAAGAAAGCTTTTTCCTGAAGGCATTTGCCCTTGGAAATATGCGTGTTTACTGCGTGGGGGGGTGGGGGGGGGCCTCAGCATTGCTGTGCTCCATGGGGGACAGTCTTAACGTTTCACGGAACCGCCCGGAAACCTAACTACCGCTGGGACGTACAATGTCATTTCCATCGGGAAGCTGTCTCAATTTCTACCCTCATGCAGACTTGGCAGACATACACATAAAATAACTCTAATCTCATACTCAGTCACTGCAAACAGAAATGGTTGTTACCTGCCTACTGTATGTAGCCATGATCAGGGGCAGAACCAAGAAGGTTTAATATTTTCTCACCCTAAGTTCACCCGAGTGATAATTTATTTTCAATGAAAAATTAGGAATTTTTTATCCTTTAAAAAAGTTTCCTTCTCCCTTTCATATTATTAATTTTAATAAGTGATACACGGACATTTCAAATTTAAAGATAACACTCGTTAATTTTTATTAATTTAACACTCATTATAATTCTTAGGTTTGATTTTCCATATTTTAAGAGCTATTCTTGTGGAGCGGGTGACACACACTTACAATCCCAAGTATTAGGGGGCTGAGGTGGAAGGATTGCTGGAGCCCCAGAGTTCCAGACCAGCCTGGGCAGAAGGCTCTAGAGACTCTGCCTCAAACAAACAAAAAACAAAAAGAGATCTTCTTTTCTTCTTTTTGAGGGCTAAAGAGAATGCAGAGGTATGAGAGATGAGAAATCTCTGTGTTGAAATCATATACAGTTGTAAATATCCTGTGTCAGGACAGAGATCAAAATGCCAAAATCAGAAAAGGGACAGTAAGTATTCTGTCAAAGTAATCAGCAGTTTAAAAACTACTAAGCAGGGCAGCGCTTGTGGCTCAAAGGAGTGGGGCACTGGCCCCATATGCCAGAGGTGGCAGGTTCAAACCCAGCCCTGGTCAAAAAACTGCAACCCCCCCAAAAAAAAACTACTAAGCAGGAGGCACAAAATGCTGATCCCTCTTCTCTCCACAGATGATCTACGTGGCAAGGAATGCCAAGGATGTGGCTGTGTCTTACTATTATTTCTACCAGATGGCAAAGATGCACCCAGAGTCTGGGTCTTGGGAGGAGTTTCTGAATAAATTTATGAATGGAAAGGGTGTGTACAACACTTCCTATAATCATGAAATTCCATAATGAAAGTCCTTTTTGGAAGGCAATCTGAGTTTAAATGTCTTGTGAGGGTTATAAACCAGCTATGTGCCTAGCTTTCTACTGATTCTTTAGGAAGACGCAGAGTCCCGAGTATCATCATTCGTTAGTGACCAGTGACTACAGCAGTTCATCTAAGCACTGTCCACACCATTGCACTGTTTTAATTTCATACATATACTTGAATTCTCTCTTACCTAACATTTCTTCATGTTCATTATATGACTGAAAACTTTGTCCTCAAACCTGTATTCTGTCTTCTTTGGGGAGACATATTTATATTTATGGTGGTGACTCTACCTATGGTTCTCCTATATTCCCTATGGAAATTCTCCCTTTGAGACAAATGCATTGCAATGGTATCTTGCATAGACTTACCCCTGTCATTCTTGCATAGACTTACCCCTGTCATTGCTTGGACTATTTTTTGCCCCTAGAATGTGATCTTTGTTGCCATCATTATTAAAGTCCAACTCTTCCTTTTAGATCCAGAAGCACTCTACTAACTACTGTCCTAACCCTTTCTTAGTTTCTCTGTTCCTATTATTCTCTCTCTCACAGTCTTCCTCCCCCCACCCACGCTGGCCTATGAGCCTCCATATCACTTACTGTCTGCATTTCTCTGTTTCTGAAATCTTGCTCTTGTAGTTTCAGTTTTATGTATTAAAAGTTGTGTTAGTTTAACCGGGTTGTCATAACAAAATATCATAGACTTAGTGCCTTAAACAATAGCAGTATTATTTTCCCACAACTCTGGACACTATACATCCGAGATTGAAGCAACGTCAGGATTGGTTTCTTCTGAAGCCCTTCTTCTTAGCTCATTGATAACTCTCTTTTTTCTATGTCTTTAAATGGTCTCTGTGTATATGTCCTGGTTTCTTCTCCTTATAGAAATATCAGTTGTGTTTATTATGGTCTACCCTAATGACCGAATTTTAACTTAATGACCTATTAATGGCCTAGTTAAAGGCCCTATCTGCAAATACAGTCATAATCTGAAGTCTTGGGGGTTAAGACTTAAACATCGGAATTTGAGGAGAACAAGATTCAGCTCATTGCAGAATTATTTTGTCCTTTCCAAGTAGATTTTAAATTCATTGAGAACAGGAGTTATCTCATGTCATCGCTTATCATCCCTCTTTCTTGAACTAATAGTTAATCAATGTGTATGTCTTGACAATGATTACTTGGTACAACATTTAACCTTTCTTTATTTCATATAAATAATTGTAATTTTCCAACATTTATGTTTCAATTTAGTGTGTTTTGGTTCCTGGTATGACCATGTGAAGGGCTGGTGGGAGAAGAAGAAAAATTATCGTATTCTTTACCTATTTTACGAAGACATGAAAGAGGTAAGGGGAAAGTACAATTTCTTTTTTATTTTTGAAAAAAAAAAACAAAAAACAAACAAGATCTGTCCCCTTGGTGTCCCATTTTCCTCTTGTCCTGGTCTGTGATTGCGGCTGACCTACTGTTCCATCTGTCGTGCTCATCTCCTCTGTCCTGGCACTGCCTGTGGCCTCTGGTCTAGGCAAGCTTTTGTCTTGACTGACTTCCTACATCATCTTCCTTCTATCACCCACCTGGACACAATGGTCTTTTTAAAATCTGAACCAGAATGTGTTCATTTTTTCCCTCAAATCTCTTGATGGCTTCTGGTTCTACACATGATATAAAATAATTAAGGTAATTTATAGAACTTGTGATTACTTAGTCCTTGTCTACTTCTCCAACCACTTGGGCAATCTTTCTCTTTATCACTGAGTGAGTATACCTGGAAAAAAGTCTAACTTTGTGTTAACCTTCTCCTCGAAATCTTCATCATCTGGACTTGTGAGAACTACCCTGTCATTCAGAATTGAAGCCTGCAACAGGTGAAACTGTTACCCTGGTTTAGCTGGTTCACTGTGGTTAGCATCCAGCAGCCTAACTTAGAAACATCTTGATCACTTAGGTTCCTCTAAATTCCTTAAGGGTGGCCCTGACTCTTACTCATCTCAAATTTAGGAAATCCTTTCTATGTAGCAAGGAAAGCCACTCACTCAGCTGAGGTAACTACTTCTGGCAAGTTCCTTAGTCAGATTTTCAGTTTCTTCCAAATCCTCTTTAAACTCTTCTGTACTTGTTACTCTGAACTATGGTGAGATATTACTCTAGATATGAGTCTAGAAGCAAAAATAAGTGTTTAAGTATGAGTCTTTAAGAGAATAAGCAGTATCATGAAAGAAAACATTGCTACCTTAGGTCATTATAAGGACTTAAAGCAAAGGAAGCTTAATTTCCTCAAATGTAGGAAGGAAATCTATATTTCTGGAAGAGAAGTCTGAAAATTCCTCACAGGTTCATAATTCTTTGGATTGCCAGGTCTGCCCCAAAACTCTCATTCTTAGCTTAAGAATTCCACCCTTTCTGCATCAGTCTTCCACTTAACTTTCACACCGTAGCCTTGGCACAGCTGTGAATTCAACTTCCATTGCCATTCTTCTACAAATTAAGATTTGTATATAATTTTCAACAAGTTAAGCTCTGTGACTAAAAGAAATAGATTATTTTAGGGCCATCACAGTAACTCTCTGGTTCCATTGCCATGATGTGAGATGAGTCACTCAGGAAGCTAAATCTCAGTTTGTCTTTCTGCCTGATCTCGCCAGGTCACTGAGGTTGTGACTCCCTCAGTTTGGTATGGACCACCAAGAACACCTCCCTGATGGTCAGCAGAGGACAAACTCTTCGGCTTTAATGCCATATTACATTGTACCTAATATGCCTTCCTGGTGCCTAGAGTGAAGCACAGAGAAGAGAAATCATAAGAAATGCATCAAATTGCATGGGTGACATAGTGGTGAGCACAGCTGCCTTCCAAGAAATGCACCAAGTGAATCTCTCTTCATTGTTGCCTTTATCCTCCCATCATTCCTTAGGTGGAAAAATGGACAAGATTTTACTTATTTGACTTTCCTACTTAAATACTCTCACTGTTGAGAGGTAGGAAGAATCTTCTTTCTACCATAAGAGAACTCTTGCTATAGGTAACTCATTCTCAATGTTAGATATGCTAACAAAGATAAAGAGATCAAGGGATTTTGAAAATTATATTTAATGATAATGCCAGGTTGCTCTATTATCATGTTATTCTATAAGTTAATTCTATATTTAAATGTAAAAGACTGAAATTAATCATATTTTTATTTGCATTCTTTTTTTTTTTTTTTGTAATTTTTGGCCAGGGCTGGGTTTGAACCCACCACCTCTGGCATATGAGGCCAGCCCCTACTCCTTTGAGCCACAGGCACCTCCCTATTTGCATTCTTTAAAACAAATTTTAATCTCCCTTCTAGAAGATGATTGCCTAATATAATTAAAGATTGAATATGTACTTGAGAAAGAAAAATTAAAAATGCACATAAACATCTAAAATTATTTTTCCCATTACTTTAGCATGCACAGCAGCTTGGTAAGTGTGTTCCTTACTTCATGACCAATTCAACCTGAAATGATTATTTTTCTCTTTAATTTCTTTAGAACACAAAGTATGAAATTCAGAAGCTGTTAAAGTTTCTTGATAAAGATATACCAGAAGAAATTGTGAATAAAATTCTCTATCACAGTTCTTTTGATGTGATGAAGCAGAACCCCAAGGCAAATTATACCACTATGCTGAAGGAGGAGATGGACCACTCTGTGTCTCCTTTCATGAGGAAAGGTGGGGACATCACATACAGTGTCTGTCCAGCTTGTTGCTTCCATTATGGAGAGCGTAGGTGATCAGATAAGAGCAAAATCATAGGAAATGGAAGGAAATAAAGTATGCTGGGGAGAGAAAAGTTAGAAACTAAAGAAAACACAAAACCTTAGAGGAAATAATCTGGGCCAAAGAAATTGTACCTTTGCTGCAAATCTAACACGTAAGACAAGCCTTCTAATGAAAAATGCTTATTCAAAAGCCTTTGCATCAATAAGAGTGAGTATTGGTGTCCACTGTCACATCAGAAGAATGCCCTTCACTTTTCTGAATTATCTAGATCTTCTCCATGTACTGCAACATCTTTACTGTGCTGGGTCGCTGGCTTGAAGGATGTTGGGACACTAAATTAATGCAGGGGAGGTTCCACTTCTTGAAGTTGTCAGGGTACCTATGGCAAATCATTGCGTCCTCATTACTGAACTCAACTTATAGCATATTGCAAACTACAGTCCTTTGATAAATGCATGTTAAATTGCATTGTTTGTGTGTGAGAGAGAGACAGAAAGAAGAGAGAAAATGTTGTATACTATTAGCCAGTTTTGCTATAAAGCACACAACCTCCCCCAAATCCCTCAGTGGAATAAAACCACCAGATTTATTTTTCATGTTGTTGGGTCCCAGTCACCTGTAGCTGCTGCGGCTTTGTTGGGCATTTCTGGGCTCAGATCTTTGTGTCTTCACTTTCTGAAATCCCGGCTCAGAGAGCTGAGCACGTGGGATGTGCCCAAAATCAGAGCAGAGAGGAGGGGCTCAGGAACTGGTGAGATGTGAACTTCCTTTCAGAGTTTCTCTTCAGAAGTGGTGTGTGTCACATATATGTATCCAACAGCATTTCCAGAGCATATTAAAAAATCCAAACCTAAGAAGAAGGTGACCAGGAGGAATTTCATAGCACATGATGGTGGACGGAGCTATAAAACCTTCTTGTACTAAAAAAGGGAGCAAATAAACTTTAGCAATAGCAAAATTTAAGGCAGATTTTCAGAGACAGGTGATTTGGTCTGAGGCTATAAAGAGATTTTTAATGGTAATTTTTAATTATAAATGTTTTTATAGATCCAATGGGTTTTTATTTTTGTTGTTGTTGTTAAGAGAGTTAGGATATATGTCATGGGTAAGTTCTGCTGGGAACATCTGGATGTTGGCAGGTATAATTTTGTCTTTCAGCATACGTTGGGCAACATCTGGGGATTTTATCATTATCACACAAGGGGTGGCTCTTGACATCTCGTAGGGAGAGGGTAAGCATGTCACCAAACACCCACAATGCACAGAGCAGTCCTCCTTTCCTCTCCCAAAAACCTGGCTCCCAAGGTCAGCAGTGGAGAAATAAGTGAAGTGTGGGTCTCAGATCTGGGCTGATTGGCAGTTTCCTTGGCGTGTTTCCTTCTTTCTCCAGAAACTGGTTTCCACATGTGTTTTCTGTTGTGTTACCTTGTAAGATCTTCTACAAAAATAGGATTTTTTAAAAAACCAATATTCATTCTAAATGCTATGTCTTTTATCCTTGCTTCAAGGTTTTTGATATGATTAATATTTTGAAGACCAGGAAATCCTGAAGTAAAGAAATATGTTTACTTGCATTTAACCCAGTAGTTTTCAGTATTATTTGACAGAACTTTTGTTCATAAATTATCATTTAGCATGGGCAAACAGTTTTAAAATGACAAAAAACAAACAAACAAACAAACAAAAAAAACCCTTATACCTTTTGTTAACAAAGCTCTTGAAGCCCAAGAGTCAAGACTTTGAGATGTTGGATTTCTCCCAGTGCCATTTCTCTAAACTATTTAAGGGATTATTTCTTTACATAAAATACTGAGAGAAAATCCAGGGGCCTTTCTGGAAGACTAGGAAGGCCTAGGAGTCTGGGAGTGGAAGCAGGATTTTAGGATTAGAGTTAGAGGTTAAAAATACAAAGGATAGTAATTCAAAGTAAAACTGGTTTCAGACGGAAAATTTTACAAAGGCCTCAAATTTGCCATTTTGTATTTTCTTTTCAGGTATTTCAGGAGACTGGAAGAATCTGTTCACAGTAGCCCAGTATGAGACGTTCGAAGAAGATTATAAAGAGAAAATGAGAGGCTGCTCGCTGCACTTCCGTTCAGAACTCTAAGATGCACCTGCCTTTCCTCCATGTGATATAGTTAGCACTTAAATTAAGAAAAAAAAATCCTTTCAAATATTTAGTGAAAATAAATTTGGCAGCAACTCTTCCTTATTTGCTTAGATTAGTGGTAGCAATAGAATAATCAAGGAATTTCAGAGTCTGTGTAGGAATTGCCAGTACCGTCCCTATGATTTTACTGATGCTCCATAGTGATTTTACCTGTTTTCCAAGTGAAATTATAAGATAAAAATTTAAAATCTATACAGTAACCTATTTTACTTTAAAAAATCAAGGTCTAATTTCTTTTTTGTTATTTGCTTAGCAAAATACCACTGTAATATTAGACCAACAACATTTTTGTACAATGAGGTCACTGAAATTCAGTTCCCTAGAATGGTATGCTATAAATCAAATTTTGGGTAGTTTGTTATTCATAGTGTCTTACTGTTATATTTTATATGCTAATTATCTAAGACAATAACAAGAAAATAATCAGTAAGTTTGAGTTACAGTATTGTTTACATAGTTATGTATTAGCTATTGTCAGAGAGAAAAAACAAAGTTCACAGTTATCATAATGTTACACTTTATGAAACACCTTCTGAGTATAATGTGCCCTAACAAAATCAGAAATGCAGAGTGCAAACAGCTTCAAGTCAGGGCAGAGATAAAAGGAAAGCACAGGGAAACTGTACCTTCTGCTCAATTTTTCTGTGAGCCTAAAAGTACTCTAAAAATAAAGTCTATCAAAACTAAAACTAAATAAAACAAAAACACGTCCACATGGAAGGATAATTATGAAAAAAAACTTAAGAAACAGCCACACTACTAATACTGAAATTCACACTGAGTTAATCAAATTGCGTAGCCTTACTTCAGCTAATACTCATGAAATCTTCAAGATAGGTATTCTAAGTTTTTGCAGTTTTACTAATAAGTAAACTGACAGGGAGAGTAATTATGTTATATTCAAGAGCACATGTCAAATATTCAGTAGAAACATAAAGTACAGTTTGGTGTTTTATTCTTTTGCAGTCTGGATCTCACTATATTATCCAGACCAGTGTGCGGTAGCTATTCACAGGTGTAATCAGAACTCCAGCAGCCTCTCCCCATGTCTGCCTGCTCACTAGTATCTGGTGTTCACCTTCGTGCATGTTCTCACATACCTGTGGCTGTGTGTTAATTGTGGCACTTAACATACAGCTAATTCAGATATCACATTTACAAAGATCACTGAAAACCTTCCCTCATGTGGAAATCTCACGTGTTGTTCCTGCTTCATACCCTAATGTAACAGTCTCCAAATCTTTCGAAACATTCACCATTGTAATAAAAGTTTTGAGTACTTCCCCCAAACATATATACATGTATATCTTTGTAAATTGCGTGCTGTTTGCATGCTATTCACACTGAAATGCACATGAATAGAAATTAAGAGATAAAAATGTAATAAATAATCTAGAATATATTATATTCAGCTATACAAAATATTCTTTCATGCTGAAATATTTAATAGTCATAGTTTAACGTGAGAATGATATGACCAAAATTTCTTCATTATTGTTTTTTTAATGTTATTTCTGTAGAGATGTAAATAACATTGTCCAAAGCTATAGAAGAGGACTTTTGTTTTGTTTTGTTTTGTTTTTTGCAGTTTTTGGCCGGGACTGGGTTTGAACCCACCACCTCTGGTGTATGGGGTCGGTACCTCACTCCTTTGAGCCACAGGTGCTGCCTGAAGAGGATGTTTTTAATCAATATGTTAAGAGTCCCATTGGTTTATACTTACCACCTTGAAAGCATTACTGGTCTGTCCTCCTCTCTATTCTATCCCAGACTTCTCAACATGATGTTCCAGGCGCTTCATGAAACTGATTCCTGTTGCTACCCTGCACCTTCACCCCCACGCACCTTCACCCCCACCCTTCCCACACTGCCGCACTCATTTCTAATACAGATGTATCTAATTTCAGATCCATCCATTTTTCTCCTTATCTATGTCTGGAATGCTGCACTTTTGGCATAAAATTATCTTGACTATCTCATTTGCTAAGTAGTTACCATCATATGCTTAAAAACCATTCTTTAAAAAAAATTACAATTTTAAGATAATTATATATTTACATCATGTTGTAAGAATCTGTACAAAGATCCCAGATGTCTTTTACTCAAGTTTTCTCTAGTGGCAACATCCTGCAAAACAAAAGTATGATATCAACGCAGGTGAATCACAGATAACTTGTATCTTACAGCGTCCCTCAGGCTGCCCTTTTAACTAACTGTGTCTCTTTCCCACCTCCTTTCCGAAAATCCTTACAACCACTGATTCATTTTCCATTTCAAGAATATTCTATAAATAGAATCATACAGTAGTTTACCCCTCAGGATTAACTTTTTTTTCAGTCAGAATAACTCCCTAGAGCTCTATCCAAGTTGTTCTGAGTTACTATCTTATTGAGCTGTTTTCTTAGCCTGGAGCTGTGGTATGAACGGTCCATAATCACACGCGTGTCCCCTGTTTCCAGTCAGCGTCAGACAGGACAGTCTGCATCGTTTGTCCTTCTACAATTATTTGTAGCTTCTCCTTTATTCCCCAAAGCATCTGGGTCTGGAAGGTAAATTACAAGTCACAGTGTCCACAGATATTTGCTTTTGCAGCTCTCTCTGTATGAACCCTTCTCAAAGTTAACATTGAGGGTGTTTTCTCTAGAGATGGAAGTCAATATGGCTTTAGGCTGGGAACAGGGAAGTAAGTTTGGGGCACAGCTCAAAGACCTGTTCTGAGAATTGTTTTGAAATATTATACTTTACCTTGAACATCTCTGTGCAATTTTAATTCTATATCATTATGTATCTATATGTGGGGGTGTATATTCACTGTAAAATTAAAAGAACACCTTCAAAATGAAAATATAAAGGAAAATGTGTCTTTAATCTCTTCCAATCAGTTGGAGAAATGCTTTTGTATTGAGTTTATTTTAAAATTTTAACTTGAAATTGAAGAGTAATAAATATCAGTTAAACTTCAAATCAATTTATCTTACATTTTTGCCACTACAATGTTTATAGACCTGTGGTTTTATGAATATGTGGATGAAAGTCAGGGCATGCTTTTTGCTGGTTTGGTGGCCATGAGGGCCCTAAGCAAGAACGTGCAGAATTTTGTTGCAGACCCTGCTCAGCTCCACAAGGGGGACTTTCAGGCACAGTTTCCTGGTGTTGCAGAAAGGTTGTACATGGACAGGTCCATTAATTACTGTTAGAAATATCCATAGAATGTTTTCAGGATATGCTGTTGCTGATAACACTCTTCATTTTACATGACACTGTACACTTAAGCTTCAACTTCTTACACCTTCCACAATCAGCTGTCTTCTTCCAAATCTGTAGCATGTTTCGAAGTGATTCCTTTATGCAAATAAAAATATGTAGGTTTGCATTGCCTTGCTGCAGTTGAGATTTTATTTTTATTTATTTATTTATTTATTTATTTTAAAATATGGAACGCTTCACGTATTTGCATGTCATCCTTGCACAGTGGCCATGCTAATCTTCTCTGTATCGGTCCAGTTTTAGTGTATGTGCTGCTAAAGTGAGCACGAGATTTTATTTTTTAAGAAGACAAAAGCTCAATGAGCATACTTTTAAAAGAGTAATCAATTTATTGTTTCAGAGATTTACTCTTTGCTGAAAGATTATTTTTCTTCATAAGAAGACCTGGCGATTCCAAGCAAATAAGGGCAGTTTGCCAGTCTGACGTTAGTGTTGTGCAGGAAGTGCTCAACGTTCTTCTCATGAAAACAAAACTTTTTGTACTGTATTGATTTTTGACACATCTGCTGAATGCATTAAACAAACCAATATTTGGAAGCAAAGCACACAGTGGATACTGGTGCTGTGTACACACTGCTGTGATGAAAGGGATCTGCAAAAAATCCTCCATTCCAATGCTCATGTACTCACATATGCTACTTTTTGCTTTTTTTTTTTTTTTTTGCAGTTTTTGGCAGGGTTTGAACCCACCACCTCTGGTATATGAGGCTGGCACCCTACTGCTTTGAAGTGAGCCACAGGCGCCACCCCTTTGTGCATTTTTAATGGAAACAAATACGCAAACTAGAATAGCAAAGGCCTAATTATTGTGTGGAAAATTTCTTCACTGGGGCTTTCTTTTCCTTTCCATGTATTTGGGAGCCAATCTAAAGTGCCCTCACAGAAGGACACTCCAGGGGCTTCTGTCTGTAGCTCCACCCGCATCACAGGGCCTCACCACTTTTTTTTGTGCCCCTAGGATGCCGTAATTCCAAGTAATATTGAAGTACTTTTTAAATATTTTTGTTATAATTTGCTTTTCCTTATATTGATCCTATGCTTGAATTATCTTCTGAGTTATAAAAAATTCATTTGATTTTCTTCCTTTAAGATTTGTAAGACTGGATTTTATATAATCTTGCTAGAATCATTGTATTAGGTGTTATATGGAGATCTCTCACAGGAAAGATGCCAAGGTTTCAACTCATTCCTATCTCTGTAATAATAAACATCATATTTTAAGCAAATATTTTAATAGTAGTTAATGTTCTTTGAAAAGATACAATGTCTAGGATATGTTCTAAGCACATAATTTATATTAACTCATTTAATGATGAGAACAGCTGTACAGATGAACTGAAAATTTCAGGCATTGTTTCAGGGCATGTAAATTAGCAGAGACCGTGGGGAATACAGTAAGGTGGTTTCTTAAAAAATTAAAAACATAATTACTATATGTACTATATGGTCCAGCAACTGAACTTCAGCATATATACCCAAAAGAATTAAAAGCAAAGGCTCAAAGAAATGTTTGCAAACTCAAAATTGCAGCAGTATTATTCACAATAGCCAGAAGGTAGGAACAGCCCAAGTGTCCAGTGACGGACGACTTTATAAACAAAACACAGTGTTATGTTCCTAATTGCTATGTTCCTACTGTTCCTAAGGCACAGTATTTAACCTCCAAAAGGAAGAGGATTCCAACCCATGTTGCAACATTAATCAACTCTGAAGATATTATGCTACATGAAAGAAGTCAGTCAGAAAAACACAATACTGTACGATTGCACTCATTTGAGATATTAAGTAGTCAAATTCATAGAAACAAAAGTAGCATGGGGGAGAGGAAAATAGGGAAATAGGAGTTGTTCTTTAACAGGTATGGAGTTTCAGTTTTGCTGGACAAAAATGTTCTGGAGATTAGTAGCACTACGATGCGATAATACTTGATGTCACCGAACTGTACTGTTAAAAATATGTAAGATGGTAAGTTTTGTTATTTGTATTTTCCCACAATTGAAAATATTCAAGCAGCTATGTAAAGAAAGTCCCACTATTCCCAGGGAGGAGTGGAAGGTTAAGCTGCCCCAGTCACAAAGCTGGCTCTGTAGCTGCCTGCAGGGTGTCAAGCACAGGGCATGCTCTACGGCCCACCACTTGTCCATGGGCCTTGTTTGCTGCCCATAGTGTGACCGTTGCTATTTTCCCAGCTTCATAACTATGGATGGGTTAGTGCAATCAACTTTTTTACAGATAAGTTCATTTTAAGAAGCCCATGGTGCAATTCTGCAGGTTTCCAAAATCTGCCTGATTTTAGGCTGTCTGGATGTCCATCACTGTCTTTCCTGTTTAACTGGTTGAGATACACTGCAAGTTAGTTTTCAATCCCGGATCTGTGCACCCTGTTTTGGGAGGCCAGGCAGAGCTGTGTTCACTCTGTTGTTAGAGCATGTCGTTTG